GATGATTTTCTTTCGTGTTGTGCAGTAGTCTTTTCGTGATCGTGCTTTCTAGCTCTGTCTTGGTGTTCTTGGGTTTGTATTGACAGTTACCACTTGAGAGACGCCAGGATGTTTGAAGCAGTCTTGAGGCTAAGCAGATGTGTTTCATCAACCAAGCCCCTTAAGTGACTGATCCTGGTGACTCTCTGAGTCTCTTTCTAACTCAAAATTTCTTATCTTCAAGTCCATATATGACTTCACCTATGGACTTACAGGGTTCCTGAAACTATATAGATTGTGTGTGTATCATGGCATTATATATATTTTTTGTTCCTAAAGTATCCCTAGGCTTTCACGGAGTTTTCTAAGTGATTTATAGCTTCTCCCCATCCCCCAAACACTTAAGACCATCTGTGATTATGCTATTAGATGAATATTCTAGTGGTACACAATTCCCAGGTCGGTTATGGTGATAAATTAGAATGGACAAAGTCTCAGGAAGAATATCTGGTGCATGTACATGTTAGTTTCAATGAGGGGTCAAAATTATTCTGAAAACAAGAGATACAGTGTATGCAATTAAGATGAACTCTGAATGGATGTACTGCCAATCACACAGTAACTGGCAGCATCCTGTGTCACTTGAAACAACCAAAATTAACAACAAAACCGAGCAAACTTGAACAATGCTGGAGAAAAATGTGACCCTACTAAATTATATTTATGTTATTTGATGCAGCAAAGGAATTTCCAAAACCAATATTCCTACATACCATTTTGTATATACATAATTTTTTTTTACCTTCTACAATGACTTTTGAACCAAACTACCACAAAAAGATGTCTGCTGCTGCACTTTTCTGCACACAGAACTATTCTAGAAACATCTCATAGAATTAACATTCCTCAAAATACACTTTGGAAAACTGATTTTGTTGTATAAAGTCAACACTCAAATTGAATGTTCATTATCAATTTTGAGTGATACCATACTGAAATTATAATACAATTAAATTTCATATAATTGCATTTTAATTTAAAAGAGTTGAAGCTGAAAACTGTAAGGATGTATTTACTAGGATTCAAAATATTATCTCAAATTAGAAGATTCATTACACTCAAAGGAAAGTAAGCACAGATTCAAAAGACAAGATAAAATTGTCAAAAGATATGATATACATTCAAGACATTCCTATAACAAAAAGGAATGTCTATAAAATATATAAAATTCTATAAAATATATAAAAATGCTTTTTTAATTCAATCAATGAAATTAAGTAAACAATAGTGTGATAGTAGGAGCAAATGTGACTCCATTTTGTTTTATGACTTCATCCTGTAAAACAACCATGACAAGTAGAAGAGTCATGACTGGGGCAAGATGTTCTT